AAGGCACCATCCCCAATGTAGGTCACTGAGTTCGGGATGGTCAAGTTGGCCAAAGAGCTGCACTCCCAAAAGGCTCGAAACCCAATGTGGGTCACTGAGTTCGGGATGGTCAAGTCTGACAAAGATTTGCAATTATAAAAGGCCTCGTCGCCAATGTGGGTGACCGACTCCGGAATGGTCACGTTTGCCAATGTTTGGCAACCCTGAAAAGCTCCTTTGCCAATTTCTGTTTCATCATCTGGAATTTCGACCACAAGCAACAGTTCTGGGTCGACGATGCCGCCGAGACTGATCCCATCTTGGTTGGAGCATATCACTACATTTGGCTTGAAGACAACACTCACTACAGTATCTTCAGAAATTCCGGCGTCCAATACCTTTACATCGTTCGCCAGCAAGAGGTTGTTTCCGACAATGATCTCTACACTTGTAGTGCTGCGAGTGAGCTCGTCCCAAGGCTGTCCTTCCTTGATCTCCTGCTTGAGTGCCCAGCCTGTTGTCTCTGGTGTGACTTCAAAAAAAATGACTTCACCACTCGGCTGCAGCGCTGAAATTCGCTTCACCATGGCTCACAGACCGACGGACCTGGGACTCTTTCACATCATGTCTTATCCTTTGCCAAAGTCCGGCGACACCATGGGGGACATTGGAGGAGCCTTAACACGGAGATGCTTGAACTCTTTGTTAAACAAGGGCATCGCTATTTGTAACAAGGGCATTGCTACTAGAAGCTAGAAGCTACTAGTAACACGGGGATGATTGAACTCTTTTTTGAACAAGGGCATCGCTATTAGTAACAAGGGCATCGCTACCAGAAACTAGAAGCTACTAGTATCACGGGGATGCTTGAACTCTTTTTTGAACAAGGACATCATTATTAGTAACAAGGGCATCACAACTAGAAACTAGAAGCTACTAGCAACACGGGGATTCTTGAACTCTATTTTGAACAAGGGCATCGCTATTAGTAACCAGGGCGTCGCTACCAGCAACTAGAAGCTACTAGTAACACGGGGATGCTTGAAGTCATTTTTGAACAAGGGCATCGCTATTAGTAACAAGGGCATCGCTACTAG